ACCCATTCCTAAGAGAATTTCCCTCTGAGATTTTCAGCCTATTTTAAAAAATCCTCACTTGGGGACATGTTTATTGATTTGAGAGATGTGAGAGAGAAATGCATGGGCAGGGGGAGAGAGAGAGAGATGTAAGAGAAACATTGATTGGTTGCCACTTATATGCTCTCCGACATGGGATTGAACCCACAGCCTAGGTATATGCCCTGACCAGAAATGAAACCCACAACCAGGACAAAGGTCCAACCAACCAAGGCACCTGGCCAAGGCTTCAGCCTATTCTAAAGTGCAGACCTCTCAATAAGTAGCTCCATGACCCATGTATCTTCCATCTTTCTAGTCTGCAATGTATTTAATTTTTGAACTGGTTGAGTTGGTTCCTTTTAAACCTGCCTTCTGGGTTGTAAATTTGCCTTTGCCAGCTTTCTGGGGTTAGGTTGGGGAAGAAGGTGTGTGCTTCGTTAACTGGAATGATGCATTGAACTTGGAAAACTGAGTCGATCATTGATGTGTTGGATTTATTGAGGGTTTTCCCTAAGAAGGGCCCCTGATGCAGCCAACAGCACTAAACAATATGATATTGAAAAGAGGAAAAATAGGGTAAAAACGACTTGGGTAAAAATGTGAGATCTAAGGAAAATTTAAAGAAGGTAGACAAGAAAAAACAATTGGAGAATTAAATGCAGTCGAAGTCTGGGTAGCCCAAGTCTTCAGAAAGAAGTGCAAACATTCAAAGACAGCTAATACACCGGGAAGATATGCATAAGCTCTGAAATCACTCAGGTCTAGGGGCAAATCTCAACTGTACTGCTTGGTGACTGGGCAACACAAGGCCAACACTTCTTTGAGCCCTAGTTTCAAAGAAGTGTGTATAGGTTATGGGTGACATAGCATGCTGGTATATGTTTAACAACTGGCTCATTCAATAAACAAACAAACAAGTAGGTAAAGCTGATTTGCAGTTTTTGCAATTTCCATACAGTGACTATTCCCACAATGGCTAATTTCCAGCTACCAATGTATTGTGACGGAACAGAGTTAGAAGGAATGCATAGTAGTACACACTTATACAATATTTTCATCATGCTAATACAATAGGCGTAAATATCCCAAAAGAGCAGATGATAGTAAAATGTGAGCAAATAATTAGAAGAGATATTTTTTAGTATAGTATTTTTAAATATAATTTTAAATAATAAATATATAATGTTTAACGATGGCCATTTAATAGCATCTTGCAAAACATCATAAAATTTAAGAATCCATCTCAGTTGAGCTTTGTTCAGGCATGTGTTCTAGTGCCTTGGGTTGTGGGGTCAATGTTAATGCATTAACAACATGCATTGAAGTGTCTTTAATGCATGAAGTGCCTTTAAACAGAAGCACACACAATACAGGGTTATGTATTGATCAGTTGATGAAAATGTTGTGACCAGAGGCTCACAGGAACCTAACCCTGTATTTTTTTCTTGGAGCCATGGTTCATGGTCATTTTACAGAATATCACTGCTGGGGATAAGAAGAGTGGAGTTGTATCCATCTTTGGAGGGATGGCTTAATTGAGATGCTTCTGCACTTAGCACATTGCCTGGCACCCAGTAGAATAGCCCTAAGAAGTCTCTTCTCATCTTCATCTCATCTTTCCTTTGCTGGGTAGTGCTATGCTAATCCAGGCAGGCAGGCACTCAGATGCAACCAGAAATTATAGAACCTGCAAAGGAAGTATTGTTATTGTGATATGCTCATCTTCTCCAGAGAGGTGCTTTGGAAATTACAACCATCCATCAATTCACAGTCCTTGAGATAGATGCCTTTGAACTACACAAAGAAAGGGGCTAGCAGTACCAACAAAAAAGAACTACACTTAGTCAGGAAGTTTACCCTTCTCCCTAAGGTTTCCTGGGCTGATAATTGCCAATTTATCATATTTTTTTCAAGTTACTTTCTTTGAAGTAACTTGGAGGCTTTTCTTCTCCTGGGTCTCAGCATCGTCACAGCAAAACCTACCTTCATTTTCTGCCCTGAGTACATTGTTGACTGTGGGTTGAAGCCTCAGTAACACTTAGTCCTTTAGTTCTTCATCATCCCGACATGTGCCCATCATCCTGCCTTGTCATGTGATGCCCACCACCCCCGTGGACACCGACACCCACTCCAAGTTGGCATAATCTTTTTTTTTCAGTCATGGTAAGGATGGACAGTACTTAGCCCATGTTCTTTCTCTTCTTGCTAAAGATGACAATCCCTGAAAGCTTTCCACTACTCCTGCTCTAAAACTCATCGGTCCGACCCTGGATACAGGCCCTATATGACCTGTGCCCCCCTAACTTTAGAATGCCATCACCTGAATATTCCCCTTTCTGGATTTTCCTTTACCCACATTGGCCTTCTTGCTGTTCTTGAACTTACAAGCGTGGAGACTGAGCATCTCAGGTTTCTGCTGCCTGATCTGCAACCACCTAAGATCCTCCCGCACCTCCTGTCAGTCAAGTCTTAGTGCCAAGCCCCCGTCCGAGAGGTGTCTGTGACCGTCCAGTCTGAAGCCCAGCGGTCATGGTGCAGCCACCTTGTTTCTTCACTACTTTTGTCCTTTGTCACCATGTGAAATTACCTTGTGTTGTGGGCTAGATTGCATCCCCCAGATTGACCTTGAAGTACCTCGGGAGGTGACTGTATTTGAAGATAAAGCTTTTAAACAGTTGATTAGGGTGTGGGAAGAGGTGGTAAAGGTTAAAAGGGGTCAAATATATGGTGGCGGAAGGAGATTTGACTTTGGGTGGTAAACACACAATGCAAGACCCAGATGGTGTGTTACCGAACTGTATACTTGAAACCTATACTTTTACTAACCAGTGTTACCCCAATACATTTAATAAACCATTTTGAAAGGAGGGGATGAAGGAAGGCACCTTTCCCATTCATGCATTCTATGTGCATATCCCTAAAAGCCTCAGAAATAAATTGTGCACATGAGTCAGTGTTCATTGCAGAAGATGGAGGATTTTAAGTTTTTGCCAAATTATGATACCCTTGAGACTTCATCTTGTCTTTTTTTGTGGGGGAAATTAATGTAATAAAAATGTCATCAGTGTTTAACAATAAAAAGACGTGATTAAGGTAATATGAGTAGAGTGGGCCCTACCCCAGTGTGACCGCTGTCCTTAAGAAAGGAGATGAGGACGCAGACAGACTTGCAGAAAAAAGACCGCCTGAAGACATTTGAGAAGGCCGCCCCGGGAGACAGGACTCAGAGTCTCGGACTGCTGCCGCTGGAACTGAGTAAGTTTCTGTCGTTCAGGGCGCCCGGTCTGTAGCCCTAGCACACGTACTCCTGGTTTCTTTGTTTTGTTTTTTTTATTTCTCTTCCCAGAGTGTAAGTTCCATGAACACAGGAACCGTACGTGTCTTCTTCATCCTTCTGTCCTTAGTGCCTAAGACAATTCTCAGCATCTAGTAGGCTCTTTACAAATATTTTTTAACTGATTGGATGATGTAGCCAGGGACCCGAGCCTTTGATGTTTAAGTTATCTTTGGCTATGCAAATGTTGTCATTATTCATTAGGCTGAAAAAGAAACCTCTTGCCTAAAGAGTTACTTCAGAAATTAGTCATGAGTGCCAGGGTTTAGACCTTCTCACCCCGTTTTTTCACAGTTCTGGTTCATTAATTCTCTAGTTCTCCAACACCCTCTCCTCTCAGTTCCTCTCTGTTTGTAGGCCCTTCTATGGCCTCAGTCCCGCATCCTCCTCCCCTGATGCCCTTGCAATGGGTCTGGGAACCTGGTACCACAGGTGGCTTCCCTTACCTGAGCTTGCCACGGACCCCTCATCACCAGTGACACAAACCGGCGCCCACAGCAGGGGAATGCTGAGTTCACAAAGAGTTAGAGATGAAGTGCGTCCTCATGCTGTCTTGCTTCCTAGCAAATGGAACATTAATTGCTAAAACTCATATTCTAGTCCTGGCTGGGGAGCTCCAGGTTAGAGCATTGGTTAGAGCATTGTCCCATGTGCCAAGGTCAGGTCACAGACAAGAATCAACCAATGAATGCATAAATAAGTGAAACAATACAGTTGATGCTTATCTGTCTCCCTCCCTTACTCTTTTTCTAAAATCAGTAAATAAAAATTAAAAAACTCATATTCTTTCTTTTTAATTTAAAAAATTTTATGTACTTTTAGAGAAAGAGGAAGGGAAGGAGAAATGGGGAGAAACATCAATGTGTGGTTGCCTTTCATGTGCCCCCCCCACTGGGGACCTGGCAGCAATACAGACGTATGCCCTGACCAGGAATCTAACCAGTGACCCTTTGGTTTGCAGGCTGGTGCTCAGTCCACTGAGCCACACCAGCCAGGGTATAAAAACTCATATTCTACCAGCACTCTCCTAAATGGGCTCACTTGTTTCTCCAACAAACATTTGTTGTGCCCTATTTTCCTCTTGGCCCTAGGTAAGTCGCCCGAAATACCAGTGGCCTTTCGATGCTTGTTCTGTTTGCTACCCGCAGCTCTCTCCACTCTCCCTGTGGGAGGCTGGCCCCTGCCACCTGCGTCTCTCTGGGTTCCCACTGGCAGCTTCCCGTGTTCAGCCATGGGTGGCGTGAGAAAGCAGGAAGAGAGAGATGTCAGGGTGTATGCTCCCCACCCAGGTTTACCGCCGCTACGGGGTGTCCTCTCCTTCATGCTGCCTGTTCTGGCCTCTGGCTGGAGCCAGGGTGGAAATGGCTTCCCAAGCTTGCTGGACTCTGAGTGCCTCACTGTCCTGTGTTTGATCTTGTGATCCTACCCACACTTCTGAAAGTAGTCCTTTTATAGAAGTTTCTGCAACTCAGCCCTCTGATGGTGATTTCTGTTTCTTTCCCAGACTCTGACCCATTCAGGCTTTGTGTACTTTTCTGACTCTAAAGTTCAGGAATGATGTAACTTTGGTGTCTTCACACTCCAGTGGCTTTGGGGTTAATCAAGGGCGTGGTGCTCAGGCTCCAGTCAGTGCAGAGGTTTTGACACCCCCTGCATCCAGGTAGATCTGGTGCACAGCCCCCCTCTCGGTTGTTCTGCCACCTTTCATGGCTGTTGCACCATTGCCACTGCTCCTGGTGCAGCCAGTGCAGGGCTAGGGGGACGGAACGAGGGGCAGAAATAACCTGTGCCTAGGCTGGATGTGGCAGAGAGGAGGTGGCCCAGCCACAAGGAAGGGGGCCTGGAGAGAAGTGGAGTTGCCTCGTCGAGTTAGACTCCGCTCTACTTGCAGGACAGAGACTTCATGGCTTCCCAAGGTGATGCTTTTGCTTATTGTCTATCTTTTCATGCCCTAGAGAAATTCGGGTGGTTTAACTTATTTGAATAACCTGTGCATGTTGACAAAATTTTCCATGGGGTGTCTGCTTATTTTCATAATACTGGTGGCGGTGGTAGCGTGTCTGGTGGGACGTCAGTGCTATTTTAATGGCTCTCGAGATACTAGGTGACATAAGTTTAGAGAATTAGAAGGCAGCTGGGGAAGACAGAGTTACACAGCACGAAGGAGGGAGAGAAGGGCTAGCACAGTGGGGCACAGACCCAGAGAAGACGATGTCAGCCAGGCTCCTGTGAGGTGCACTGGATGGAGACTGAGAGGGACCATTCTGGGTGTGTTATGCTTTGCACCGTTAGTCCTGAGCGCCTCCTTTATAATTTGGAAAAATCAGCAGTCTGATATATTTGAATGGATATCTCCATAAATTATATTTTTTCCAGAATGCAGTACTACATACAATTTAACACTGAAGTTCTTATAGCTTAATTTTCAAAGAGATATTATAATATATATGTATAGATCACATAAATGTCATGATTTTGTTACATGAACATTTGTTAAGTAGGGCACAGGGTGAACCACGGTTCAACAAAAGACCACAGAAGAAGGTGCAATAGAGAGGTTTATTATTCACTGCTCCTGGGGAAGTACACAGCGTGCGGCAAGGGCCACACAGGGAGGTACGGGGAGGTGCAGGGAGGGTGCAGACAGAGAGTGACAGGACATGGGGCACATGCCTTTATTAGGGCCCCTGAGTGGAGTGCTTTGGGGTTGCTGGCTGAGGCTGGATTGATCCATTTAAATCAAAAGGACAGAGCTTTGGTGAGCTCCACAGGGGTCTCATGTAAGGGGTGCATAAGGCACACAGGTGCTGGGGGAGGAGGGACTGTTGTTCACAAGGGTTGTTGGCAAGGTCATATCAGGGGCTTACATTTGCCTGTGACCCCGTGGGCTGCTGTCCAGGTCATGCAGCAGCATGAGGGGCTGGTGTCAGTTTCAGGCCTCAGAGGCCGCATGGCCAAATGAAAGAAATGCTGGGGCAACATTATGTGGATCAGCTTAGCTAAATTCCTAATAAAACACCATGCATGACACATAAACGGAACATACTTGTTCAGTAATCATAGCGATGAATGGAATTTGAGGAGGCATGCAAGAAACTGGCAGGACGAGGTAAGCCCTGAAAGGAGTCTTGTCCAGGAAGGTGCGGCCTGTCACCGACAGGAGCTAGCTAGTGCTTACAGAAAAGGGCATTCACACTGTGCTCTTAATACTTATCTTTATTATGAAAGTGTTTCCAAAGTAAAATGATCCTCATAATAACGATTGTGTCCAGAGATCAAGAATGAATAATTATATCTTCATATAAAAATCAGCAAAACATAACAGTACATAAAATAATTCTAACTGGCTAACAGCACATCATTCCATTTCCAACAAAGATGCTCGAGCACTGAATTGTCTTAAGAAAAAAGTAAGGTTTGCCACCTGTCCTGTTCCTCACTGCAGGATGGAAAAAGTCAAGTCCAAAAACGAACCACCCTCCCCCTTGAGTGACAACAAATGGCTGTGGAGGTAACTGATTCTGTGGGTGAACAAAGAGCTGGTGGAAGTCATGGGCTTAGCAGCACTGTAAGACTTCTGGAAATCAAACTTGGAGGGCATTTTTTTTCACGTCTAAATTGATGCAGCTCTAAGGGAAAGTCCCCAAATCACCACATAACTGTTCCTATTACAGAGCTAATTTCTCTTCGGCAACTGCTCTTTAAAACCCCTATTTTTTAAAGAGTAGGTTTATAATGACAGTTTTTAAAAAGTACTGTAGATCCCAAAGAAAACAAATTATCTATAAAGTCCATTTTTTCTGACTTGACGTACCAATCATACAACTGCTGTTGTTCCTGGTTTCCAGGCCATGCGAAATACACCAAAATACGAAGCCAAACTTCCACGGCCCCTCGTTACGAAAACAGGCTTAACAACACTTTATTGAGTAAAATGGCATCAGGAGGAGGTGTGCATAGAACTGATCCAAAGGCTACTGGGAAACTGATAGCAGAAAAGAGTGATAATATTTTGGCTTTTTTTTTCTTAAGAGTTCCAGGAGGCTGAAAGGAATGTGAGTGAATGAGATAAAGGACCCAGATTTTGAGGCTGAATGTCCCCTCCCATCTCTTCCTGGGAAGTCTTGAGAATGCCAATCTTGTTGGAGACACCATATGATATGCCATCTGGCTGCAGAGATATTTTTTTTATTCCTTTGGTCTGATGAGATCTGAGCTTGTGACCATTTGGGAATGCGTTCCTTTCAAAGGCTTCAGGTCGAAGTCAAGTTGGAAATACCCGGAAAAGTTCAAGGTTCTCTTTTGGGTGTCTGCAGATCTTATTAACAGTTACTCATGGTATTTTATGTTCTTTAATACAATATTCTCCATGAAAGCCAGCACCATGAGTACATGTTAGAGGAATTCCAAAAGCATAGAGTGGCCAAATAGGTACGCCTCTTCACCATCCCCTGAGCGCCCCCTACAGGGCAGTAGGAGACCCTGCACACAAGGACAAACTACAGAACTCTTCTGGACTATTTCTGTGAAGAACTAAAATGTGGCCATAGTGAACCAGTGCTAATCTATTTGGTAATTTGAGAATGACACAATTCCAATTTCCTGAGAAAAACTTAAATTGACTCTGGGGACAACAATATATTTATTAAAACCCTATGTTGCTGCATTTTGCATGACTTCAAGAACTCATTATGATTACTGAGAGTATTCTTCCATGGACAGAATGCTACTGAATGCAGTAACTAGAGCTAACCGTGTTTTCTCTGTCCACACCAGTGACTTGGAAACTGGGAGTGCCTTGTTAGCACTCCGTCATCAGTCTGACTCTGATCTGATTTTTTTCTTATTTGAAGATTAGAAACATTTCAGGGCTATTATTGTTTATCAACAAATCAGGAATCAGTCAAAGACAAAGAAAAGAAAAGTAAGCTAATTAGAATCTTAAGATCTCAAATAGCACATGAGATGTAAACACAGAACCTTTTCTTTCCAAAGGGTTTCTTGAACCTCTCTGGACATAATGACATTGTCACACATACTGATAACAGACTCTTTTAACACCTTTGGAATTATTCTGTATACTTTCTATACTTCAAATTAAAAATTTCAAATATTCAGGCAACTTTGGCATTAACATTTGCAAGAAAGGGATAAAAATAACTATCAGTAAAAACAACCAGGAACAGATTGGGAACAATCATAGGTGTCCATAAAGTTCGTTGTGAAGAGCTCTTTTGCAAAGACTCAGGTGAGCGGAACTAAAATCTCGGTTTTCACTCCAGCCCAAATAACAACGAGGTTAAAATAAATGAAGTGGAAGATCCAGACCCCTTCTCTCTAAGGTGGAAGCATTCAATTTGCTCAAGTTCAAACTCTACCATATATATACACACTCAGAATGGAAAATCTGGCAACAGCACTGGACATTTTGAAGTTCACCCACCATTTTGGCTCAAGGTGATCTAATGTTATCTTATTAAAGAGTTATTTTTCTCACCCAACTGCTTGGTTTCTTTGGAAAATCCACCTTTCTGCCTCGTATCTCCATCAGGTGCATTTCATTATCCGATGGTACCTCAGAACACCTTTGTCTAGCAGGAGTGAGATGTTGATAACATCCTGAGGTGAAGCAGCAATCATATGCATTTTTCCAACATACGGTTTACTATCCAAAATATGAGAGTTACTCCCCATTCTCAGCATCCACATGACTACATTTAGAAATGAGAACTGTATTTGGCTTACATGCTGACCTTGGGCCCTCTATGATCTTAATTCTGCAATATTTACTTCTGAGGCTAAGAGACTGAAAAGATTCCACAACTCTCAGCTGTGTGGGTGGAATGAACAGGAAGTTGAGAGAGAGGCAGGAAGTTTCTATTGTATATAGTAAATAGTTTTTGTGAAAGGAATATGGATAATAATACTGAGTCAGTGATATTTTGGTTTTATCGCATTTTTGGAGAAACAGATATATACATACATAGATCACACATTTATTTCTATCATTTATTGACCCAAGGCCAAATTCTACTCAGTTTTCTACTTTTTTTTTTCCCCACTAAGAGATATAGAAAAGCTATAACATCAGATAATGAAACATACTTTTTCTAGATTCCTTCCTACATACCCCGTTGTACGTTGGGAAAGTCTGAATGTGACCAGGAGGAAGGAGATAGCAACACAGGCTAAGTTAATTAATGGCAACGACACTCACTAAACACAGGCAAATGTACAAAATACACTGCCAGAACTACGGCATGGCTCAGGCAGAAGGTACCTCACATGTTTTTCTCTCCTCAGGCCACCACGGGACAGCAGTAGACAGAGAGAGATTATTTTTCACCTCTAGAGGCCTACAAACACCATTTTCCTTTGTCAAAAAGAAATGCTTGCTCTAAAATGTAAAATGAAATAAAAACCTGTAGATCCATGGGGGACTCTGTTAAATTAATGCCATCATTCTAAGTATTCCCCATCCTTCTTCTAAGTGATTTCTGGGAAAACAAAAGATTATTTAGGTTTGTGTTTGCTAAGGATGGACTCAAGGTACTTACTTCTATGTAATTCTTCTTTAATAACTTACAAGCTAACCCTTTGAAATTATTCTTCCGTGCTGAAGGGTGTCGGGTAATCTGAACTTGCACCCTCCAGGATTCTCTGGTTTATTCCACCCATGGAGCGGACTTGCTCTACACACTCAAGCAGGGCACAATCCACTATTCTCTTCCATGTTTTAGTTGATGAAATAGTAAATTCTCACCCTCTCAAAAATTTTCAGCTACAACATGCTTGCTGTTACTTTTTATTTATCTGCATCTTAGCCAATTTGAGATGACTAACAAGTACTTTTGATGTTTTATGATTGGCCTTATGAACTCAAACCATCCACGAATTACATTCCTAGACATAGCCTGGTGTTGCGAAATAAAATAATAAGGACTTACATGAAGAATTAGTTGTTTCAATAAACAGGCAGACACATTTTCAAGCCTCTTCAATTATTACTATGGACCATACCAGAAACGTACTACTTGTAACTAAGTGGGGAAAGACTTAAATTAACATCACAGTGTGAGGTTTTTGTTTGGGAGCACTTTAATTAGAGGTTGTAAATTGTGAGTACAAAGTTTTAATTTTTTCAAACAACTGAATGGAAGGTGAATGGCTCTGAGCAGCACACTCACACCCTAGGGTGTCGCTGTTGTCCACCTTGATTCGCACACTTCTGTCACCACACCGTGGTTTCGAACCCTTGTTTTTTTTTTAAAGATTTTATTTATTTATCTGTAGAGGGAATGGGGGGAAGGAGAGAGGGAGAGAAACATCAATGTATGGTTGCCTTTTTGTGCATCCCCTGCTGGGACCTGGCCTACAGGGAACCAGCCTGCAACCCCAGTATGTGCCCTGACTGGGAATCGAACGGCAATTGTCTGGTTCGCAGGCCCGTGCTCAATCCACCGAGCTACACTAGCCAGGGCTCGAACCCTTGTTTTACAGGATGGTCTTTTTGGTTTATGAAGCAAGTATTTGTGGTACCTTTTAATTCCTGCTTACTAAACATTGGAAGAAAGGAGACAAAATCTTTGGTTTACGGGTATGGTTTTCTCATCTCTACACAAATAACACTGCCACCTAGGAGACAATGGAGACTTATTTTTCAGTAGTCTTGCTCATCGCCAATATTGTCAGTGTCCAGTCCAATTTTTGTTTTTCTGGCAATAGCTTCTTTTGAATAAAAAAATCCTGTGAAGAGAATAGGTCTTCAAAGAAGCAAACCAAGGGACCCAGAATATAATGCTGTTTGGGTAATGAGAAGGTTTTTCTGAGTCCTGTGTAGAGGGAAAAGACAAAGGGTAAAAGAGTCTTTCTCCCATTCGCTTAATTTGATTAAGAAAAATAAGAACATCAAAATCAAATACTAGATAGGGCACTTTCCTTGAAAGCTGGTGCAATAAAGTGCTTTGCACTAGAGGTGACCTTTGCCAAGTCTTGGAACTCTTTTTTTTGGTTGCAAAATATACTCAGCATCTTTCTTCTCATGAGACCACACAAGACTGCGCCAATTTCAGGGGTAGTGGAAAAACATGGTTGCAATCAGCTGCTTTCTTTGTGCTATTCTCAGATCATGAAAAAGTTCCAGATAGTAGGAGTAATTTCTTTGTAACTGTGACCTTAAGTGAATGTCTTCCTTCAGAGCCAGAGCACTGACCTCATAATAGAGAATAAAAAAAGTCTCTGTGACCAGCAGGGTGAATCCCCAACTAGCGATCACACTCATTGAAGAAATCTGGGCTGCGTGCACAAGAAATGAAGCCTCTCCCAAAACAACTTAACACAAAACAATTTTTAAAAAGCCCTCCAACAACTATACTCTTTAATCCAAACTGCTAAACGACCATGAAAAGTGATAATTAAGAAAACCTAGCTCATCCTGGTGAAACTATATACTGGGAGAATAGTCATGGAGACTATAGGCAGTTTCTACATGGGCACTCGCATGGAGAAAGCAAACCTACCCGGAGCTGTATGAGAATCTTGCGCTGGGTCCTGGCTGCTCTGAGACTAATTAAGCTGATGCTCCTAGCAGACGGGCCTACAGCGGTAGAAAGGAGCAGAAGCAGATGGAGCATCCCCCTCACTGTCACCAACCCGGGGGGTGGAAGGAGTGAGGAAACTCTCTTTTGTCCACAGATTTACAAACAAATACAAAAAAAATAAATAATATTCTAAGACAATACAAATGCAAATACTGTTCCCTTGTGTCAATTACATACAGCATGCCTACATATAGAGAATGATAATTCTTCTTCATTCACAGACGGGACAAATGGCAGTGCACTATTCAAAATGCTTTGATGATCCTAATTTTTGTTTCTGGTGCTGAGATATTATGAAAGGAACTGCATTTGCAACTTATTAAATACTTCTGGGAACAAATAGTTCACTTTGTTCCGGACTTGTCGTTTTGAGAAATTAATCATCCACGGAGCAAGGGCCAGTCAGGAGATACCCGTTGGTACCACTGGTTCCATTGGTGGTAGTTGCAGTGTGCGGGTTCTTCCCTGGAGGTTCCGAGTCCTCCTCATCTGAGCTAGACTCAATGTCGCTGCGATCGTCCTTGGACACCTGTGGGACACCAGAAGGTGAGTGTAACGAGCCCCGAGGGAGTCATCAAGGTATGGCATGCTCAGAATCACATGCAATGATATACAAGGCAAAACAGGTAAGATGTTAAAAAATCAAAGAGGACAAAAACTTTGCCACAGTAATTAGTTCCCTTTTACTGAAGATACACAGTTTGGGTGACAAAGTCAGTTATTAAGAAATGTGGGCTACATTTGCTGATCTTTTATTTAAAAAGATTTTATTTACTTATTGTTAGAGAGAAGGGAAAGGAAGGAGAAAGAGAGGGAGAGAAACACTGATGTGAGGGAGAAACATCAATCGGTTGCTTCTCACACACACCCCAGCTGGGGACCAAACCCGCAACCCAGGCAAGTGCCCTGGCCAGGAATCAAACAGGCGACCCTTCACTTTGTGGGTCAATGCCCAACCAACTGAGTCACACAGGTCAGGGCTTGCGACCTCTGTGTGGTACCTTTCTATACTGAGAATGTGTTGTACCATGAGTTGCACTTTGACCAGCAAAGTGCCCACTGCCCTGCTGAAATGGCACTGTGGGAATTCGGTAGGAGTGAGTCAGTCCGCACTCTGATGATCACTTATCCTTGAGAATCATTTAAGGTCAGCTCTCAGCTGACTACACTAATGGAGACATTCACTAACTCAGTTAATCAAAACATCATTCTTACTTGTTTTTGCAATGTATTGTTTCATGACTTAATTTGGTTTTCTTTTCTTTGTTAGAATTAAGCAGAAATTTTGTTTTATATATGGCATAATAACTAATGGCAGTAGGAAGTATTCTGAGAACCTACTGGCTGAGGGTTAGTTTTAAATATTTCCCAAGGAAAATCTACCAACTGATTCATCATGAATTGGTTCCTGTCATTCCAGGGTTCTTCTGTCCTCCACTCAGGCTCATTAAGTAATGAGGATGGCCATATAAGACAACAGATAGAAACCTATACCTTATCATAAAAAATGGAAAAAAAATCAATACTGTCTAGCACAGAAGTACAAGAGGGGACCCAAAAAAACCTGAATTATCTTCTGGAGGGCGAGCACCTTATAGTGCAGGCTTTCCTGTGGGTGAGTGTTCTCGGAACCCATCTGAATCAGCGTACCAGCTGGTGTTGCTGTGAGAGGCTGCATTCGGCTTCGGTGAATTTTGTTTGAAGACTCTTTCACAGCATTTGTCTATTTCATGATGGCTGATTTACGAGCACACCTGACCCCACTGTGCTGAGCGTTCAGCAGTTTTTGACCAAAATGGCATGACCCACGTATCCTACCCTTCCTATTCACCTGACCTCACCACAAATGACTTTTTTTTTGTCTCCCCAGATGAAAACAGTCCTTAAAGTGAAATGTTTTGCTGATATGGAAGAGGCAAAACAAAAAATGGCAGGAGTACTACAAGGCATCAAAATGGACATGCTCAAAAACTATTTTGAGCAGTGAAAAAAAAAGTCTTGATAGGTGTATTGCATCGAATGGAGAGAACTTTGAAGGTGACTGAAGTTTAAACATGTAAGAATATACAACTTTTTAATAAATTCTGTTTTGGGGGGGGTCCTCCCTCTAATTTAAGAAGAAATGAAGGAAACATTCTACTGCTTTCAATATTAAAATAGTTTGAACCTCATACTCTATAAGTCTAAATTACAGTAAGCATTTTTATCCCAAAGATCTTAAGACCTTTGAGTAACTGAGTGCCATCTACTTTCTAAGTGGGGTGACAACAGGGACCGGGTGGCCTGGCTTCCTAGAACTTTCCCCAGTCTAGTCACCTGCGATTCTCTGGGAGGTGGGTCGGGGAACTTGGCAAAGTCTCCTGGGAAGTATATTAGAACCATCTGGGGGAGTTTTTTCACATCATGTCCTCTCTATGCCACCACGACTCCCCAACTTTAGAACCCTGGAATCCAGTGCCCTGCCCAGTGGAGAAGCTGCCGTTGTGAGATAATATCTCCTCTGTTAGGTGCGAGGGAACTAGGGATGACGGTGGGAACAGTGTAAAAATGGACCTCACTCCATGCCACCTGGGGTGAGGCTAACCTCACAAGGACTGTCTCCAGGAAAATTTAGACACTGAAACATCAAAACAAGTAGGTTGTAAAGATGCTTTTAACTTAAAAACTAGGGTCACAGAGGTGGCACTGTAGTAGGGTTCCATTTTATTTAGCAACCCATTAGTCATACATTAAGCAGCTAGTAGAAAAGAAAACTCCAGTTTTAGAAAGTGATTAATTTACATTTGCATGATTAGTAAGATTATTTGTAATTGCACTGGGAAAAAAAATCTATAGCTATGCTACCTTCAAAGAAAGAAACAATTTAGAATGTCTTAAAATAACCCACAAAAAATGGAGTACACAACCTATGGCCGTGGATCTTACTGTCCTAGGTGAGCAGTAATACCCATTAAAATACTATGAAGTCTAAGATGTAGATTAAAACTAATGACTGTCTCTTTGTAAAGTTGAAGGAATAAATTGGAGAGAAGAGAACATGTCTGCTAGAAATAGCAATGCAGTGAGGACACACGTAATGTAATCATTGCTCCTTGTATCTTCCGTCATTGTTATCCTGCTGACAGCATTGTGTGTGCAAGTAGAAATACGTACCAACGTGATAGAGTAAGAGCTCACAGGGGAAAACCTTTGGCTTCTAAAAAATGCATTGATCAAAGTATTTTGGATTTATTTATTTTTATTATATTATTTGGGTGACACTGATTCATAGGGTCAGTTATACGACATTGATTTATAGGGTCCAGGTGCACATTTCTATCATACGCGATACGCGATCATGTGGAATAACATGACAAGAGCCGACACTGAGAACTGGCTGCACAGTCCACGACGAGGTGCCCCGAGGCCCTCCGTGGGACGGTCAGCTCTGTTTCCCTGCTGAGGACAAGGCGGTCGGTTAAGTGCTGCCCTGTGGCCCAGGGCAGACCAGGTAAAGGGGCTAATGCTGAGTACTCCATTTGAGACCGTGCTGCTCCTCTCCCCAACTTACTTCTCTTTCTCCTACTTCAGTTTGGTCTTTTTCTGTTTGCTACACACCGCTGAAAAAATTCCTCTCCTTCTCTGTGGGATCATGCAAAGTTCAGCAGAAGGCAAACTCATATAAAAGGACATGAACTCAGCTGTTCCCAGTATTCCTTTGCAGCTGCTGGGAGCCATACCTCTGAGCCTCCAGCCAGTGCCAACAGATTAGACAGAACACTATGCATGGAAACGAAAGCATCTGAGTGCCCCTCCGGCAGGCTAACGTGGCACCCAGGACAAGGACACAGAGTGGTGAGGAACTTACATGTAAAGGGTTCCACTTCCCAGCCTTCCAGGGTGGCAGAAGGAAGAGAACAAACAATGAAAATAAGAAAATGTCATAGAGAATATTCTAGAAAAGTCACTGCACTTCACAGAGAGGTTGGGGCTCAAGAAGCTTTATTCAAATCAGCCTCATGAGTCTATTTTTTAACCAAAGAAACTAAATTTTATTGGAAAAGAGATAAACGGGCACACTGCATAGTAACCCTTCTTATAAAAGCAAACAGGTTATTAAATTTGTGTTCCGTATAAGTATAACCAGAGAAGGACCAAGGGAGACAGACAGAAGGAGCGAACACAACAAATAATCTATTATTAAATCTGAAATTATAAATGCAGAACACTGGAAATCATCAGTAAAGCAATGCTACAACTTAGAAATATGAACTAAATAGAAGACGACAAACATTTGGTTTGTGTTTCAGGGAGGTTATTCTAAACTTTGAAAAAATCAATTCTGATGAAATCTGAAATAATAAATAATGCTCTTATTGATTCAGAGAAATTAAGTAACATAATGATCTGGGACATACTAGAAATGGTGAATTTTATCTTACCTTGCCTTTTGAAATAGCTTTGCAAGCTATTTTTATGATCAAGTAAGACCAGAAGCAGTTCAGGCCTAGTATTAGCAACAGCAGAATGTTAAAAACCCACCAGGAAGGGTAAGGTCCAACGATCTCCCAACTTTCAAATAGCGTGGTATTTAACACCCTAAGGAAAAGGAGAAAGGTGTCAGTGAGCACAACTTTTCACTTTGCCTTCCGGGAAACTCCAGCACCTGGGCAGAAGCAGGAAGTCGGCCGTACCCACTAACCACTCCCTCCGTGCAAGCCGACCAGGTATGTGGAAGAGTCATCACCGGAACTACTTCCCTGATGGCAAACATTCACTTTGATTCCAGCTTGAATAGGGTACTTCCCTGTTTACTTTTGTTAGCATTTCTTCCTTTAATTTCCATTAAGTTTTTAGTTGTGATTCTACCTCTGTTGGCTAAAGGGCTTTTGAAGTTGTTTGTGGTCTTCGAATACATGAGGAATACCATTTAGTAACATTACACTCCAAGAAAAAAGGATGAATCAATTTCCAAAACACTATGCTTAAACCACATGCCTAGTACAGTGGGAGCTAGAATGTACTTCAGTCCTATTTCCTGTCCTCAAGTGGTTTATAGTCTTGTAGGGGAGCCCCCAGAGGGTTCTTAATTTTATAAGCCTTCCCCTGGGAAAGAATTGACAATTGAAAGATATAGTTTTGAAATGATGCCTTGAGATGAGTATTAGAAAGATGTTAAAAAAATTATTAGACTAATGAATATACTTAGTTTTAAGAGCATGTACTTGAGGTAGGCAAAAGTATTTGGGGTCACTGATTCTCTCTGTAATGCACCATCAGGACCAGAATGGAGCAGCCACCTGGGCAGGTACAGGAGAGCTGGTTTCAGTGCTTTCCTGCTGTGTCTGCTCCCAAGGCTTTGGAAGTTGACTCAGGCCTCCTGAACTCAGATTGCTGCCACAGGCAAGAACAATACCTACAGAATTTTGGAATTCCTCTTACTTCCTCGTTTTTTTTCTCCTTAGCTGGCTGTAGGGCTGGTTTGGCCATCCAAGAGTGTTGATAAAACTCACCTAAGTGTATTTCCACCCCTGCCACTGCAGTGCTTTGCTGGGACCCCCCAGGAGAGGTTAGGTGGACAATACTTAGTGGCTTAGGGGGAGGGATGAAAAACTCTTGAATTTAAGACACAAACCGCTCATGCAAGAACAGAAGGCAGACATGCAGATAGATAGTTTTATAAGAGAGCGAGTGTCATGAGTGCTTTGAGAGAGGTTAAGAAAAGTACTTTATGAGTCCACAAAATAAAAAACCCACTTATTGCAATTGGGATAAGATATAAAGAAAAAAAAGACAGAAATAGGTTCCCTACCCCCAATTTCAGCAACCCACACTTACAGACCAGAATGAGAACAGAGTGTGTCTCTACCCCTGCCTCACTGGTTGTCTCCCAAGAACAATAAACTTGGATATTAAAATCCTAAAATTCACAGTATGGAATTGAAGTTGACAATTCATTGGAAGTTTATTACTCTGTGTAGTAGTATTCGTTCTAGTGAAGGGGGACCAATATTAGGAAATCTATTACTATAATATATCATATATCCATCTGGGTATAAACCTAATTATTTCAGTAGCAATGAAAGACATTTGGTAATATTCAATTCTACATCACTGATATTTAAAGTTTAGAACTCATAGGACTTATTTAATAGGATTTTTAAGCAACTCAAATCAGCAGCTGTAATCATATTTAAGAAACATTAATTTTTGCCTTTATAACCAGGAACAACCCACAAACAGCCAACATCACCATTATTATTTAATGCTATTCTGGAAATTCTGGCCAGTAAGTATGGTAGAAAGTCAAAGACTTCATTTTAAGTATTTAGACTTTAAATCTTTATAACTATCTTATTTTTTAAAAAAAATATTTTATTGATTATGCCATTACAGTTGTTCTATTTCCCCCCTTCATTCCCCTCCACCCTGCACACCCCTCCCCCACCATTCCCCCCCCTTTAGTTTATTACCACATGTCTCAAGTTCTTTAGGTTCTATATTTCCCCTACTATTCTTGCCCTCCCCCTATTTTCTACCTACCATCTATGCTACTTATTTTCTGTACCTTCTCCCCCCTTCTCCTTCTCCCACTCCCCTGTTGCTAACCCTCCTTGAGATCTTCATTTCTATGGTTCTGCTCCTGATCTAGCTGTCCTCTTAGTTTGCTTTTGTTTTAAGTGTTGTTCTTAATAACTGTGAGTTTGCTGTCCTTTCACTGTTCATCCTTTTTATCTTCTTTTTCTTAGGTAAGTCCCTTTAACATTTCATATAATAAGGGCTTGGTGATGATGAACTCCTTGAATTTGATCTTATCTGAGAAGCACTTTATCTGCCCTTCCATTCTAAATGAAAGCTTTGCTGGATAGAGCAATCTTGGATGTAGGTCTTTGGATTTCATGACTTTGGATTTCATGACTTCTTTCCAGCCCCTTCTTGCCTGTAAGGTCTCTTTTGAGAAATCAGCTGACAGTCTGATGGGAACTCCTTTGTAGGTGACTGTCCCCTTATCTCTTGCTGCTTCTAGGATTCTCTCCTTCATTTAATCTTGGCTAATGTAATGATGATGTGCCTTGGTGTGTTCCTTCTTGGGTCCAAGTTCTTTGGGACTCTCTGAGCTTCCTGGATTTCCTGGAAGTCTATTTCCTTTGCCAGATTGGGAAAGTTCTCTTTTATTATTTGTTCAAGTAAGTTTTCCACTCGTGGCTGTTCCTCTTCCCCTTCTGGTACCCCTATAATTCGAATGTTGGAATGTTTAAAGATGTCCTGGAGGTTCCTAAGTCTCTCCTCATTTTTTTGAATTCTTGTTTCTTTATCCTTTTCTGTTTGGTCATTTTTTTCCTCTTTCTGGCCCACTCCTTTGATTTGAGTCCCAGTATCTTTTCCATCACTATTGGTTTCCTGTGCATTTCCATTCATTTCAATTAGTTTAGTCTTCATAAGTTCCTCTAATTTGTGACTAAAATCAACCAGTTCTGTGAGCATCCTGATCACCATTGTTTTGAACTGTGCATCTGAAAATTTGGCTATTTCTTCATCATTTAGATTTATTGGCTCTGGGGCTCTGAGTTGTTCTTGAGCCATGTTTTGATCTGTTCGTGCCTGTTACGTATGAGGAGTGGAGCCTTAGGTGTTTGCCAGGGCGGGGCCACCCAGGTCGCTGGTTTGTGACGCTGTATGGGGGGGTGGGGTCAGAGAGGGACAATGGCAGTCACCTCTGCTGCTTCCTGCCACTGGGGCCTGTACGGTCTGTCTCACTGATCCTCCTTCACTAGTTTATCTGCACGTGAATGTGTGACCATGGTCAGCCCTCAGTGGGTCTGCCCACTTCTCCACACCTGGGATCTGCTCACAGCTGCTGGCATACCTGGGTCTCATGCCCGGGTTTGTCCGGTGGATCTTTCCTGCCTGGCCCTGCTCTGCTGCTGGCTCTGACCCTCTTATAGGTTTGGCTGTGGGTTCATTGTTGTCAGACTTCCATGTATAGTTCAATTTTCTGTGGTTTAGCTGCGTTTTTGTCGCTAAAACTTTGTTGTTTTTAAACTTGGTTGTGCGAGAAGGTGCAGTGCTTCCACCTACACCTCCATCTTGGCAGAAGTCATATCTTTATAACTACTTTAAAAACAACAATCAAAATTTCCAATAACACAAAATGGTAAAAAATTAGTTTTCATTCTTATCACAGAAATTATGAAGTCATTTTAATTATTAAACATGTTTCAAGAGTTTCTTATGATAGAGAAAAATACATATCATCTCAACTCCATAAAAGAATATATGCACATACACACAAAAGGAATAAAATTTCTTTTTTCTTTTTTTTTAATTAAATTTATTTATTTTTTTGAATTGATTATGCTGTTACAGTTGTTCTATTCCCCCCTCCATTCCCCTCCACCCTGCCCCCCCAACCCCACCATTACCCCCCTTTAGTTTATGACCATGTGTCTCAAGTCCTTTAGGTTCTATATTTCCCAAACTATTCTAGCCCCCCCCATCTATTTTCTATCTACTGTCTATGCTACTTGTTTTCTGTACCTTCTCCCCCCATCTCCTCCTCCCACTCCCCTGTTGCTAACCTTCCTTGAGATCTTCATTTCTATGTTTCCACTCCTGCTCTAGCTGTCCTTTTAGTTTGCTTTCGTTTTAGGTGTGGTTGTTAATAACTGTGAGTTTGTTGTCCTTTCACTGTTCATGTTTCTTTAACTTCTTTTTCTTAGATAAGTCCCTTTAACATTTCATATAATAAGGGCTTGGTGATGATGAACTCCTTGAATTTGGTCTTATCTGAGAAGCACCTTATCTGTCCTTCCGTTCTAAATGAAAGTTTTGCTGGGTAGAGCAATCTTGGTTGTAGGTCTTTAGATTTCATGACTTGGAATATTTCTTTCCAGCCCCTTCTTGCCTGTAAGGTCTCTTTTGAGAAATCTGCTGACAGCCTGATGGGGACTCCTTTGTAGGTGATTGTCCCCTTAGCTCTTGCTGCTTCCAGGATTCTTTCCTTCATTTTAATTTTGGCTAATGTAATTATGATATGCCTTGGTGTGTTTCTTCTTGAGTCCAACTTTTTTGGTACTCTCTGGGCTTCTTGGATTTCTTGGAAGTCTATTTCCTTTGCCAGATTGGGGAAATTTTCTTTTATTATTTGTTCAAATAGTTTTTCCACTGGTGGTTGTGTCTTTCCCCCTTCTGGTACCCCTATAATTCGGATATTGGAGCGTTTAAAGATGTCCTGGAGGTTCCTAAGACTCTCCTCATTTCTTTGAATTCTTGCTCCTTGACTCTTTTCTGTTTGTCCATTATTTGCTTTCTTCTGGTCCACTGCATTGATTTGAGTCCCAGTTTCCTTTTCATCTCTATGGGATTCCTGTGGAATTCCATTCATTTCCCTTAATTTAGCCTCCATATGTTTCTCTAATTTGTGGCTGTAATCCACCAGATCTGTGAGGAAGGTGATGACCAGTGTTTTAAACTGTGCGTCTGAGAGTTTTGCTATTTCTTCGTCATTTAGATTTATCTCTGGGGCTTTGAGTTCTGCCTGCGACATTTTTGGTCTGTTCTGGCCCTTTAAGTGGGACAAGCGTCGCCTTGGAGTCCCA